ATAAAGGTCATATAATCTTTAGTTTAGGGATTTAGATTTTTAAAGAGTTGAATTAGGGTGGCCATATTCACATTCAATATCATAATACAAATGTTAGATCGTGATAATATACTATTAGAGTGTGGGGTGATGCACTATAAAATTCTAGCTCGTTAAGCTAAATAACGAGGCATACAATACTAGGGAATGGGTTTAGACCCATTACATGATCTTAGTTTCCCAAGTTTTAAGGGCTTATGTGTTTTGAGAGAACATAAGGATGAATATAGTACGACATAGAGTGGTTCAAGCCATTTTATGGTTCAAAAGCAATAATGATGTGGGCATCATTCCATCACTATTCTCTGAGAGAAATTAAGATCCACCACATATTATTGTGCAAGTCAAATGCATATTAAGCCCATCCAAGGAAGGTGAAGAGTTATGACTAAACTAAGGTCATCATAGTCAACCAAGGTTGTACCATGGGTCCCATAATGAAATGGGCTAGAGGGGCCAGGGTGAGTATGCTAAGCCACCTAAAAGGAAAATATTAGGCCAAACATGAAGCCAACAAGCATAATTGTCATCCATTACTCAATATGTCAACCCTTACTTAGGATTCATTAAAGGCTAAGGATGCTAAGAGGGTGAGTTGTGATATAACCTAAAAACAACATAGGGAGCATCCAAGGCTATCCATTTAACTAAAAAAAAGAAAGGCAATCCATGTAACCAAACTAAGGCTACATAACAAGCTATCAAAGCCTCTAAAAGCTCACCAAACAATATCAAGGTTAAGACATAAAATAGGGATGAGTAGGGTCATATAAGATTAACTTTGTAAATCAATTTCAAATTATGACTATCTTTGACTAATCCAAGTGGGCCAAGGGGAAGATCATAGTGTCATTTTATAATACTCTAAGTGTAATATCATGTATTTTAACTTTGCTAATTTTTTTTGGAGTCATAATAACTCCAAATCTCAATCCGTCTTCGTCATGCAATGATATTTTGATCAAAGTATTTTACTTGCATGAAATTTTTTGTAATTTTTAGACACCGACAAAAATCATTAAGAAATTTGTACTTGTCTGTACAGTGAGGATTTCAGAACCTTTAGGTGTCCGTTTTACAAACCAATTTCATCAATATTTTTTAAATAACATGTTTTATTTTATAAATATTTTTTTTTGTACTTTTCTGAGTCCAAAAATCATTTATTTGAATTTATACTAAAGAATTTATTTACTTAAATATTATATTAATATTATATTATTATTTAATTGAAAATATCTCAAAGCATTATAAGTTTTTATTTAAATCCTTTTTCCATCTCTGTTTTCGACAGACAGAGAAATGTCTTATGGCTTTTGTGAGAATTTTGAGGATAGAGCAAAGGGAAATTGAGATTTGAAGGTGGCGGAGAGATTTTCGTCCATCGACACAGTTGAGAGATTTGTTCGTCTCACTGTAAGGAATCCATATCCTATTTTTTATTTCAAATATTTTATATATTTTTATATTTTTCAGCTCAAATTTGTGTTTTCGTTACCGAAAAACATGAATAACTTTATATTGACAAAATTTTCACTGCGTAACTTTTTTTATGTTATAAAGATCATGGTTATGAGTATTTATTTGAGATTTTTCACCTGGTAATTTTAAAAATACAACGATTTTTATTTACCCCAAAATTTATTTTGACGTCTAAAAAAAGTAGTATAGTAGAAGAGAAGTCTTAAAATGTCATTTTATACAATTCCTAGTAATTTGGTAATTTTTTGAAAATGTATATTTTTATGTAATAATATTCTTAGTTGTATACCGTTATGATATTTGTCATTTTCTTAATTAAGCTCAATTATACATTATTTGGAGAAATGTGTTGAAAATGGATATATATATATATATATATATATATATATATATGTGTGTGTGTGTGTGTGTGTGTGAAATTCTCACATAATACTAATTGGAAGTTATAAGGAGATGATTACTATGCCGACGGACAAAGAGTGACAACTCTGTTTACTGAGCCAATGGTTTATTGATACTGATATAATACTAAAAAATATCGTGATAGCCAGGGCTTCTACTTGTTTAGTGTGACTACTGAAATGCATGTTTTTGAGGCTTTGTTCTTATTATTGTACAAATTTATTATTATCGTACGGATTTATTGTTATTGTATTATTTTACTACTCCTATCACTGAATTATTACTGTTACTGATATAGACACTGGTACTATTTGATACTACTGATTCATTGTACTGATATTATGCATGTGATATACTAAGCACATGATATAGAATAATTGGATATCATGTATACATTTCGATATAATTTTACTACATTGATTTGATTTTAACAGTCATTAACGATGTTTTAATTTGATACTTAATACGATTTTATATTGACTGATATTATGGATATGATGATTTCTTTAGAGATTTGACACTCGTACTGGTTTACTATTTTATGGGCTTTTATACTATTTACAGACTACTGTTGCTTGTGGGTTTTACTATTTCTGCATTGATTCAATGATCATATGAATTCAACTGCTATGATTTGACTATTGACATGCATATTACTCCTTTACTGTGCTTTGAATTCAGTTGTATGTTTTGATGACCTGCTGGGCTTTTTAAGCTCATTATACATGGTTAAATGATTTCAGGTCAGGGCAGGGGAGCAGGAGTGAGAGGCTGGTCAGGATTTTTCATGTTCTATTTCTTTTTTTTTTCTTTTGTACTCAGGACAGAGTAGTTATGATTTGATTGTTTAAATCATGAGTAGTGTATATGATTTTTGGAAATGAATATAGATGTGTATATTGATGTTTTAAATAATAGAATATGTTGTACTATTATTTACTGATAGATGACATTATATAACCCTGACATTGTTCATTAGTGGATAAAATAATAATTTTTTCAATTTAGATACTTGGCATCACACTAAGTTGCCAAATATTAAACTAAATATGCTTAATATTTGGGTCAAATATGTCAAACCCTAGTCCTAAGCTAAGGTTTGACCCAACTAGGGTTTGACCTAAGCTAAGGTAGTTATGCTCGTACAACTACCTCCTAAGGTTAGGATATTTGCTAGGATAATAAGAGACACTGAAGAATATTATATATAATTTAAGATATTTTTAATAAATTTAAAATCCATCCAAAAAGAGGTTTAAATATTAATCTAGAAAAAAAAAATGACACAGTGATAATGAAATTTAGATTAGAGGCTCTCTTACCATAAACAAGCATTCTCACCAATTTTTAGAATTTTGGCCATAAGATCAAATAAAAAATCAATGTAAGGTTTAAAATAATTATCAATGTGCTATGTCTTCAAATTATTTTTTTTTACAAGTTCTATATGATTAAAAAAAATAATATTATCACCACCTCTATAAGAATTGGAATAATGTAAAAACTATAATGCACATAGCAAGCTCTTTAGCTCTAGGATTAATCATATATTTGAACCTCTATCTAATCCCTATTGAATAGTCTCGTACTAAAATCCAAGAGAAAACTTATACCTTTGGAGTTAATTCTCATTGATCTATTGGACCAAATGATGCAGACAAGGCTTAATCAAAAGCTCTTTAGGAGCTCTAAATGATGATATAAATATCAAGGTCTATAAGGGTATATGAACCCATGATGATCAAGCACAAGTTTGGTTTATGGTCAGATGATGATACTTAGACTTGGTGTGTTTATTCACAACAATTTTATAACTATTTTTATAAAAAATTATAGTCGTCCGAAACAGACCCTTAAATTCCATTGATTATTTATAAGAGCTTTAGATTTCTATGCGATTGGTACAACGAAGTTTTGTCCAATTATTAATCATTAGTGGGGTAAAATACACAATCTTTAAATCAAACAACATATTTAAGCTTAGTTAAGCAACTTTTTAGTATACTTTTTTTTTTCAAATAAATTTTGTACTAGAAAGTTGTCCCAAACAAAGTCTTATTTTAATTTTATAAATATTAAATTGATAGGTAATTTAAGTAATGCATTAGAAAACTTTTATATTATAAAATAATAATTAGATGATCAAACAATTACTTTAAACTATGTAAGTATATATTTGGAATATATGAATATTTTAGTACTTTTATTAAATATGTATTTTAAAAAGGAGGGTGGGCTATTTATGATTTACATATTGATGCATAGAATTTTAATGCAAGATACAAATCATATTAAAGGTAATATTAATGATTAAAGTCTAATGTTATGTATATAAACCTCAAATGTGTATTAGAAGCTCTACAGATGAATGATTTTTTGAAATTTATGAGCTCATTTTTTGATATTTGATTAGTATGCTTTGGATATCTTTGGAATTTTCACATCAAAACTCATTATTTCAAACGTAAAGTTTTTGAAATTGGAGCACATTTTGGAAAATTTATTTTGTGCGGACACTTGACGGTGTCTAGAGATCAATAAGATGACTTCATTTCACTTTTTTGCTCCGTTTCAGTGCTCTATACCGAGTGATGTGACACGTGCTGATTGGTCTCAGGATTGTCCTGCGTCCGCACAAAATAAATTCTTCATGTTTGAGTATGTTTGAGATGACTGCAGTACTTTATAAAAATTGCTATATTGTTATTATGGAGAAAATAAATTTTTTAAAAGCTATTCTTAAAAAAACAGCTTTGCAGCATAAATTTTTTTTAAAAGCAATGAAAAAATAATGGCCAAATAGAAAATGTGATTATGATCATAAAAAATAAAACAGTAAGAAAACTGCCCCAAACAGAATTTTTAAATAATCTCCAAAATTTTTAAATTTAATTTTTAATAACTTTTAGATTCCTAAAATTACATAGAAATTAATACTTTGATCACATTAATAACTATGCTAATAATATTAATGATTTAAACAATTTATCAATAAAAAAACACATGTTCAATACTATACATAAATCCTTTAAGTTATTTCTTAAAAAAAAAAAAAAAGAAAGAAAAATAGGTTTGTTGTGCTTGTCTTCCATCAATGATGCTGCCTTGGAAGATTAGCAACGAGGGGAAGACGCAAATTGCATTCTTTGGCAGAGTGGAAAGTAACAGCCGCCTCAAATCAACAAACGCCGTCCACGTAATCTAAAAAAAATGCGAGAACTCGGTGTGTTTCGCAAACGATCGGACGGTGATGATCAAATCATCAGAAGATTCATAAGTTCATATCTGTAGTCCTTCCTTAGTACTGATTCCCTGTTCTCCGATCCCTCAACAAGTTTTTGGGAACGAAGTTTTAAGAATTTTTTGGTGTTTGGGGAAGAAAGGGAAGAGATAAACTGATACAAAAGTGCGATATTTTTAGTTTTTTTTTTTCGCTAAAGAGGTCAGTGCTGATTCTCCTGCGTCCTTATGAAACAGTAGTTTTTCATGGACTCAATAGTGCGGATAGATTTTTGTTACTATTGTCTTTGATTAAATTGGCAATTTTTTTACGCATCTGTATTTTAAACGACTGATTTCACTTTATTGTTATTCACATTTGGAATTGGTAGTGACCGAAGCTTTAGATATGATGGCTGTTAGGTCTTGTTGAGTTTTAGGGATTTTAGTGGATAAAATATACCTAGATGATGACAAAACTGAACGTTTTTAAATTTTTTTTTTGGGCTTTAGTCTGACTGATGTTTCCTGCTTTCCTGTTCCAAGAAAAGCAGTACCTGTAACCATTAGGTTTGATCGTTTTAATTTTTCTGGGCCTTCTAAGATGAAAGTCGATTTGTGATTTTTTTTTTTCAGGATAGAAGTATAGAAGCTTGTTTGTTAATAGTTTTAAATATCCGTGATTGTTCTTCTTTGATTCAGTCAACATTCAAATCCCTGGATTTATTTTCACCGATATGTGAATTTCGATTGATTTCGGCAAGTGGTTCCATTAGTTGACCAAATTATATCCCGAATGGTTTTTTTTATTATTTTGTTTTCTGACTTATTTATTTTTTGTTTGGTTCTTTTACCCTTTTTTAAATTGCCTCAATATTTGATGAAGTCTTCAATTTCCATCTAACTTCAAGGCGTATAATATTTGCTAAAATTGATTTATTTATATTTAATAATTTTTTGTTGCAATTCCTTTCTTATCAGGGTTTTGCATTTAGATCTTGGTATAATTGTACTCATGATTTGCAAGAAAGATGCTGAGGTGGAGGTATTGGAAAAAGGGGAGGAGCCTTTGGGATCCTGGAGACCTGCCAGAATTTTATCAGGAAATGGTCATACCTATGTGGTTAAATTTGATAGTTGCCCTCTGGAGAAAGCTGTGTCAATGAACAAAGTGCCAAGGAAAGCGCTTAGGCCTCGCCCCCCTCCTGTTGAGGCAAAAAACTGGACTTTTGCTGATATTGTGGAGGTATGTGACCATGGCTCGTGGAAGCTTGCAGAAGTGGTGAGGACTTTTGATTTTAAAATGGTTGTTACAAGGCTCTTGGGATCTTCTGAGGAGATTATTTCTCCTTGTTGTCTACTCAGGATGCCACAGATCTGGAAGGACAACCTTTGGATTCCATTAGAGAAAGTAGGCTTGGTCATCTCTCTTTCTCTCTCTCTCTCTTTGTTTTTCATCATGATTTTCAATTGTTTTAGAATGCATACCATTTATCTAGTAAACAATTTTCTTTATTTACTTCCGTGCTTTTCTTTTGGGCAATGTATTTTGTACGAAGATTTTAATGTTTTCTGTGCACATCCATTTGTCCGCAGGACTATGTGAAATGCACGAATGTAGATGTAAGTAGCGGGTCGAAAAGGCGGAAGTTGAGCAGTCAAATACCCAGGTTATCTGTAGAGGAGAAAAAATGTGAGCAACTTGATCGATCTGCAGAAAAATATTGTGATTTTGTGGATCAATGGCATAAAAAGTCTCTTGGAAGAGTGGAGAAAAAGTCGCGGGAATGTGGACCTCCTGATTATCCACATGTTCGGGTGTTTCGAAAGAAGAAACAAATTAAGAACGAAGGAAGATGCTATAGGATTACAGAGAAGAATCTGACAAACCAACTATTTGAAAAGGTAGATGCTGTTAATTCACCGCAAAACTTTTATGGTGAAAAACACATGAATGCTGCCTTTTATCATGAAACAGTTGGATTTGGTCAAATAGGCTTGCATTCCAACAATCCAATTGCTAATGCTGGACCTAAGCTTGTAGTGAATTTAGACCTTTCAGATAATGAGAGTACAGCATCCTCTGTTGGTAGTTGTAGTGTGATTAATGGTTTACGTAGGCGACTTTATCATAAGAACAATCAGAAGCAAGAACTATGTGGTCATATAGATGATGCAGATTCCTTTTGCGGCTCTCCAGCTGAACCATCTCATTTTAGAGAAGACGAAGTGGCAGAAGCAATTCATTGGCTGGAGTTGGATGCATACCGTTCCACCTTGAGGTCATTTTATGCATGTGGTTCCTTAAGTTGGGACCAAGAATCATTGTTGACAAACCTCCGTTTTGCTCTAAACATCTCAAATGATGAGCACCTATCTGAAGTAAAACATTTGATGTCGACTAGAAGTTTAGTAGAACATGTATCGTAGTTCTTTGCAATCCATTGCCTAGGCATTAAAGAATCCTTTATCCTCAATAGCCTTGTCTTTTTTTTTTTTTTTCAATTTTAATTTGATTCTAATAGAATTCTTTGATGGAGTTAGGGTTTGATGGCAGTTCTTAAATGTGAAGGTGGACAACAATTTTTTTTTTCTTGTAACTGAATGACTTTAAAGCAATGAATGCTTTGTCGTTAAATGGGTACAGTTGATCAGTTGATTATGATGATTATAATGCTACTTGCTAAATCTTATCGAATTTCCAAGAAGTTCTTGTGCCTTGTTTTGTAATATGGATGGATCAAATTAATAAATAATTTCGTAGAGCTTGTGTTGGTGCTTTTGATTATGTTGAACACATTTAGAATGCTGAGGGAATCTGCCTTATATGCACACTCATAATCTCAATTTTGTTCACCTTGTTCACTTCAGGCCATCTATTTGTAAAATTCTGATTTTAATCATGAATGCTTCAAGAAGGAGATTCTGTCTTCCAATTTTGTTGTTTCATGGCATGGTTTTGAAGAGCTTAGCTATTTTAATGTGATTAACACTTAATGACCATCCAATCCTCTTGTTTGAGGTGATTTCAATAATCTAATCACTCATATTTATAGCAGGAAGGTTTCTTTTTATTATTTTTTCTCATATTTCTGAAATTTTAATTAGTGCTTTAAAACTTTTTATGTATATTTCTTTGGCTTTTACTTTTGAAATATTGCTAGCTTTTCAAAACGATCGAGGGCTGTTGTGTTTTTCCACACAAATTGGAACTATCTTGTGTTTCATTTTGAGGAGATATTTATACTCCCCATGCCTTTTTCAGTTTCAGGGCTAAGGCTGGAGGCTGTAAAAGCTTGCCAAAGCTCCAAAATAGTGGTAGGTTTTCTCCTCTCGTTATATTTTTATCAATACAGGATACTACCATTTGTGAGCAAAAATAGTTTTTACTATTTCCTGAAGCTGCTTATCTTCAGGCAAGTACCTGGACTGAGTACCTGCGACTGATGAATTAAGCACAGCAGGGAAGCTCTGTGCAGTTCAGCAGATGCATATCTTGGTATGTGGATGTTTGGTGGTCGTGAAAGCAGTTTTCTTGACTTTTCATTTTCACAATTATTACTTGTTGGTGCGTCTGCGAGCCGGGCTGTTGCCTTTTGATTATTATCCACTATGTGGGTTCTTGACATCTAAGCAGTTGGGCTGCTTGAAGCATATTTTTTGGTTCTCCCATATTATCTTCCATATACTTAAAATTTTTAAGTTTCCTAAACTATTTCTATTGATTATACATGAACTAGTTCTAATACTTAAACTAGAAGTGGTAATTAGGCAGTTCAGATTCACTGATTCGATGGAATTCTTTTATTGCCTTGAAACATTAACATTTTGTGGGTAGATTTGGAGCAGTGTTCTGGTTATCTTGATTGTGTATAATGTCATGTAGACAGTCAAGGGATAGTCATGTAAGCTTTCTCTTTGCAAAATATAGGGTTAAGGTTGCATACGTCATCTCTTCCCAGACCTTGCATTGGCTGGAATTTCATGCCAAATATTTGTTGCTTATTGTTGCTGTCAATTTCTTATTTGCTGCATATAGATATATATGTATGATATAAAGTTGTAAGGGCTTTAAAATTTTCATTTGAAATTTTTGTAAAACACAAGGCTTATGATTTGGATTAGAGATTTCGAAAATTGTTCCAGAAGTAGGCTTCTCAGTAGCATTAATTGTTCTGAGTGTAAATGTTGGTGTTCTTTGCTAAGTTATCCGAAGGGTTTGTGATGCTATTTGTTTGTGAAACCTTATATAAGTATCTACTCAGAGGTAAGGTATATGTAAACACACACACTCGTGTGTGCGCATATATTAAAGTGTTTTAAATGGTTTTTGGGGATCACATTTTTCTATTTATGTAAGTAAAAGTATGGCTAAAAGGGTTATTTTCTACTACTTTCATAAGAGTTTAGTCCTATCAAACCGATTCCTCTCCTACATTAACTTGCCCTCGTCTCCCTTGTGTCGTGCTTGTCTTTAGCTTTAAACTCGTTAATTTCCTTGTCAACTTACTGCTCATCTTCACCAAAGCCTCATGCTGATTTTCCATCTTTTGGTTTGGTCATGTAAAACGACGGCCTTCTGATGACCCTGTTAGGAGAGTAGATGTATTAAATTTGGCCTATGTTAAGAAAGACAGAGGTAGACCTTAAAAGACTTGGTTAGAAAATATCTGAAATGAATTTTCTTTATTAGATTTAAATGAAATTTAACTCTTAACATGACACAATGGATAAAAAGGATTCATGAAGCCAACCCAAGTAGTAAGATGAAGGCTTGATGTTGTTGTTGTTGTATGTAGTAATTAAATACTCTTATACATTAATCATTTGTTAAATAAGAGATGCAATTTATTTAGCTCTTTATATATATATATAATATGTGTGTGCGCGCGCGTGCTATTAATGATCTTTTTCTTTTCTAACTTTTCTCTTTTAAAACTAATGAATATATAATTTTTTTTTCTTATGACTCATATTAGCTGGAAAGACCAATATACATATTATTTGCTGTTTTTTTTATGTTAAATCCTGTATTAGAATTATTTATCTACTAAGCATTTTGCTTGCAAGTTGATATAACACAGAAAAAGAAAATGTGACATCGGAGCTTTATGTTGGTGATTGACTGCACCTTATATATATATATATATATATATATATATATATATTACTTATGGTTTTGCAGTTTTGAGAGTAAATAAAAGGCAAATAAGGAAGTTATAATTGAAAAATTTTTGGGTGTGTACAAAGTTATTTTAAATTCATTTAGTAAAAGTTTTGTATTTTTTATTGATGAATATTATGTATACTTTTGACTATTTAATCATGAGGTATAATGTAATAATTGGAGTACAATATATGTATTGTGATAGTCTCGGCAGATTAATTTTATACTTGATTCTGATGAGTGTAATTCATGATGGGTGTTGTTGAAATATATATTTGGCTGGATTGTTTGATTCCATTACACCTCAAGTTGACTTAGGGGGTCACAATGGGTTGTGACTAAAATTGATATCAGAGCTAAGGTTTAAATTATAATTTATGATAGAAGCATAATCTGATTTAGAAATTATAGTAGGATAATATTAAAATGAATATGATTTGTAAGAGCTGTAAGTTGACTGAATTTGGTATTCATACTAGTAGAGTTGAATAAAGATATATGCATGATATAATTTAATCTTTATACGATCAATTGTATTAAATAAATATATATTATCTATAGATGAACATGCTTGTAGAAATGCCATTGACTAAATGTTTATTCATTTAGGCACGTTACAAAAGAAGAAATGCAAATTGAAAATGACTGTAACACCAGTAAAATTCAGAGTAAAATTAATGAGGTCAAGTCGAGCTTCATGATATTGTAAATTTTATATCCCAAGTAGTGGATAATATGACATCTACGGAGAAATCATCGTCAAGCAGTGGGATCAAATCTGAATTTGGAAGTGAGGTGGATAGACATCTGAGAATATTTCAAACTTTTAAGCTATCGACATTCAAGGGAGCAAGTGATACAATTATAACTAAAGATTGATTTGTCTAGATAATAGAAAGGTTATGCTGGCAACTTTTGTGCTAGAAGATGAGACATAAAGATGATGACAAGCTCATTATAGAGAGAAATTTGAATCGATGCCTATCACTATGATACAGTAGGATGATTTTATGAAGGTATTTAGAGACTAGTTTATTCCACCATCTGCCATATTAGCACTGCAAGACATTCTTCAACTTCACTCAAGGTTCAAAGAGTCATACAATACATGGCAGAGTTCACCTCCCTATCTCAATGTGCACCTTATGCAGCACTCATAAAGAAAAATGTCACAATTTTTAAGAGGCCTCAAAGATTTGTTGAGATTATCATTGGTATCCTTTAATATAATTGAATTTTCAGTCTTAGTTGAGAGAGCAAGGAGAATTAAAAATGAGCTGAATTTTTAATTAGGATCAATAGGTAAGCTAAAGAAAGATTTTTAAGAAAGATAATAGTATTAGAAATAAGAAAAAGCCGAAACAAATTCAAACTGAGAAAGCTGCCTGTGGTAAGTATGAGAAAAGACATTTTGGTAAGTGTCTGGTTGGTTCTGCACAGTGTTACATATGCGGTGAACTGGAATATCACAAGATAGATTACCATGTGGAGAAAAGAGGCAATACAAGATTGCAGGGATATCAGGAACAAGGTCAACAGAAGAGATATTTGGAAGACAACATGGCAGGAAAGACTCAATTTCAAAATTAGCCATCAATTCAATTGAAAATAGAAATATCTGATGTTAATAGCAATCAACCTATGAAAGTTCGAATATTTGCTATCACACCTCTGGAAGCCAAGGACTTAGAGGAGATAGTCATGGGTATGCTTCTGATTTCCAGCAAATATGGTAGAGTTTTATTTGATTCTAGTGCATTTCAATCATTTATTTATGAAGAATTTTGTGCTAGCTTACCAGTTGAGATTGTATGTTTTGTACCTACCTTATGTGTTACTATGCCATTTTGAGATAGCTTATATGCAAGTAGGAAATGTTTTGTAGATATGTATCCATTTAGACCTTTGACGTTATATTGGGAATGAATTGGTTAGTTAAATACTTTGCCACAATTGAATGTAGAAGAAAATGATGAAGTTTAGTTTACTCAATAAGAAGTAATTTTATTTTTCTTGTGATAAGAATGCTTTATCTTCTCTAGTTAGTACAATAAAGATTGATAAATATTTGAGAAGTAGTGAAGTGGTGTTCTTGGATAAAACGGAAGTATTAAATAAAGATGCACATGCATTAAAGAACACACCAGCTACATCAAAATTTTTTGATGTACTTCCTAAATAATTATCTGGATTACCAATTGAAAGAGGAGCTGAATTTTGGATAGAATTACAGCCAGATGCATCGACAATATATAGATCTTCTTATAGAATGACTCCAAAAGAATTGCTGGAGTTGAAATATCAATTGTAGGAGTTTATGGATTAACGATTCATCAGGCTGAGTAATTCACCTAGGAGTGCACCCATGCTTTTTGTTAAAAAGAAAGATGGATCTATGAGAAGATGTATTAATTATAGAGAGTTAAATAAAGTGATAGTTAAAAATAAATATCCAATATCATGTATAGATAATTTGTTTGATCAATTAACATGTGCTATGGTATGGCCAAGTTAGTGTGAAAGAAACATATATATATATAATTAAGACAACTTTTAAAATTAGATATGGCCATTTTGAAATTTAGTGAGGCCTTTTTGTTTGACGAATGCTCCTGCTATTTTATGGATATGATCAGTCATGTTTTTAAAGATTATATAAATCAGTTTGGAATTATTTTCATTAATGATATTTTGATATATTCAAAAATTGAAGAGCAATTTTGGGAACATTAAAGAACATTTGATTGTATGCAAAATTTTTAAAAATGTGAATTTTGGTTGATGAAAATTATATTTTTGGGAATATTATAAGTGGTGAAGGAATCTCAGTGGATCTTCAAAATGTGAAAGTAATATTGGAATGACTACACCAAATAATATTATAAAATTTTATAGTTTTCTGGGATTAGTTGGATATTACAGGAGGTTTGTTAAAGGATTTTAAGTAACAAATTGCTATGCTTTTGTCCAAGCTGATGAGAATGTTAAATTTGAATGGATTAGGAAATATGAGAACTTTTGGGAGGTGAAAATGCATCTGAATGTTGCACCAATATTGTCTATTCCACAAGAACAGAAGGATTTCATATTTACAACGATGCATCTTTTGAAAGAATTTGCAGACACTATTTGTATGGGGTGAAATGTGAAATTTTTATTGATCATTAGAGATTGAAATACATATTCACATATAAAAAGTTGAACTTAAAGCAAAGAAGATGACTAGAGTTGACTAGAGTTAATCAAAGATTATGATAAAAATATACAATATTATTCTGGAAGAACTAATGTTATGGCTCATGCTTTAAGTCACAAATCTACAAGAGTTGTAAATTGGATAATTTTTTAAAAAGTCTAGCAGATTAAGGAGATGAAATCTTTGCAAGTAGAGGCCAGAGATTTTAAAAATATTGAATATTTGTATTAGATGATCGTAAGGCCAAATTTAGCGGATTGAATTAAAGAAGCTAAAAAACTAGCAATGATTATTAGAAATTAATTGAGAAGGCTCATTAGAAATTAATTGAGAAGGCTCAGTTAGGAAATAGATGGGAGATTTCTATTGATACAAATGAAATTATTAAGTATAAATTTAGTAGTGGGTGCCTAGTGATCCATAATTGAGACAAGAAATTTTCCAAGAAGCTCATCACTTAGACTACACTATTCATCTAGGTAGTACGAAATATATAAAGATTTGATTTTTTTAGTTGTTAGATATGAAGAAAGATGTTGAATATGCATATAATTGTGAAGCTTGTTAGATTGTAAAGGTTGAACCAAGGTTTAAAATTATGTATTTGGGTGTTGAGGCGTTTTTCGTTCGTGAGGCGAGGCGTAAGCCTCAAGGCGATTTGAGCCGTAAGCCTCAAAATCAAAAAATTGCGTAAACATAAAATAATAAATTTTGTATATACTAATGAGTAAATAATATATAAAACATAAAAATGCTATTTATCACATCTTTGAGAATAAATAAGGGAGACATATCACATAAGAACTCACTAGTCATCAGCACTGTCATCACTCATCAAACATCAGCACTGTCATCAATCATCACTCATCAGTCATCACTAAGGAGGTCTTCATTTGAATCATCATTATGATGAACTGCTCTCTCCTCTTCCTCCTCTCCTACAGAGTCCAATATCTCCCAATCAGCTTCTTCTTCCTCATTATTAGTTATCTTCCTCTTCCCTAAATATTTTTGAACAATATCATAATGAATAATAGTGTAATACATTAATAAAAGTCTAAGAAAAGAAAACTATATTATTTATATACCTTTTTTGATTTGTTCTTGAGTTGTGATGGATGTGGATGCTTTAAGACCATCAAAGAAATCAACATTTAAATCTTCATCTTGTAATTCAGACGGCATCACTTCAACTTCATCATCTACAAACCACTCATCATCAGATGCCACATCATCGCAAAGCAAAGGATCTTCATCATCCATTAATCCTTTTTTCTTCAAATTTCTATCTCTGAGTCTCTTATTATACATAATGTACACCAGTGAGTTCATCATCAATGTCGACAAGCGATTTCTCCTCTTTGTATGTACTTGGTTGTAGGTACTCTAGTTCCCACCTATCATCAATAATATTCCAAATTTCCCTAAAGCTTCCCTCACTGCCTCCTAAGTTGGAGGCAATCATCTCTTTGGCTTCATCCATAGCATTGTAGATGAAACCCATTGCAGGCTTCTTCTCAGCATCCACCATCCTTAAAACATGAACCAAAGGTCTAGTGGTTGTAATGGCATATAAGACACTTTGCCAAAATCTGTCATTTAAAACAATCTTTCTAATCTCTTTTCCCTCAGCCTTCTTCGCCCAAGCACAACTCAACCACTGTGTAGATGTGAACATAGCCTCTAAAGGTTGTCTGGCATCCAGCATGCTCTCTAAGGTCAAGTATGCGGTGGCAAATCTTGTTGCGGCTGGCCTTAGAATTTCTTTCTTCGAAAACTTTCTCATAAGAGCTAGAATCCAAGAGTGGTTGTAAATAAACTTGGTTATTTTTTTGGCTTTAGTGAGTGCATTTTTATGTTGAGGTAGATCCCCAAGCTTCTCAAGAATGAGATCTATGCAATGTGCAGCACATGGAGTCCAATACAAATGTTTCCTCTTCTCCATAAGTTTATTACCTGCAGCCTTATAAGAACTTGCATTATCTGTCACAATTTGTACAACCAAATGTTCTCCAACCTCTTCAATAATGCTATCTAATAATCTAAATATGAACTCAGCATCTTTGACCTGGTCAGATGCTTCAATTGACCTTAAAAACACAGTACCATAAGGATTATTAATGAGGATGTTGATCAGACTTCTATGTTTGATATCAGACCACCCATCTGACATAATTGTTACTCCTGTTTGGGCCCAAGTCTTCTTAATTTCTTCAATGCTTTTATCAGTGCTTTCCAACTCCTCCTTCAAAATCCATGTTCTTAAATCATACATGGTTGGAGGTTTGAACCCTCTCCCAAATGCTCCAACTGAACGAATCATGTTGTAATAAGCAGGTGATGTTGCAACATTAAATGGAATTGCATTTTCGTAGAAGAATCTGCCTATATCCTTACACACTCTTCTTCGAGCCTCCTTTGTATTTTCTAGGGCCATATTCTGTGTAGTAGAAGGCCTATCATCTGATGTGTCAACTATATAATGATCCATAGGCCCTCTAGCACCCCTAGATGAAATGGGCTTCATAGAAGAAGATGAATCCCTAACGCTGCGCTCACTCCCGTAGTAAGATCCAGCATCAACTCTATCCTCAAATTGCTTCTGTGCAAGATGTTTTGATGTGGTAGACTTATTCATGTATGACTTTATCTCATCCCTTACAGCATCAGGAACTTTGGAGCATGGAACAACATTCTTGTGAGAACCTGAAAGGTGTTCCTTCATCCTAGTCACACCACCTTTCACAACTTTATCATAATAATTACATTTGAGATAGACATATGTTTTATCACTGCCTCCTACATCCACCTTAGTGCTATGTTTCAATGCTGGATCTTTTCTATGACCTGATGCAGCTTTATTTTATTTCTGACCATTCTGATTGAGCAAAAATAGGAAGTGAACGAGTTCTTACTAATTTTTTCTATGACCTGATGCAGGTCGGAGGAGACAGCAGCCTCGGACAGAAGCGGGCGCCGGTCGGACGGAGGAGACAGCAACCCAACTCGCAGTCTCACAGTAAAAGAAACCTCCAAGCAAAAGGCAAAGAGAACAGCTCTCGTTTAGGGTTTAATATGCGTGTTGGATGTGTTCAGTATTAAATAATGTCGAGCCGTCGATAAAGCAGAACACTACGTATTCTATGCGTATTTTTGCGTATGATATGCGTATTATACGCGTATGGTCTGCGTATGTAAGACATAATATATGCGTATTCCATGCGTATTTTGTAAAACTTCTTCTAAAGTATTTGTAAATTAGCAGTTGTAGCAGCTGTAACTTAATGTATGCTTTTGTATTAATAGTTAATAAACATATGATTTTCTGGGTATAGTATGAGTACTGGACGTGTTCAATATTATGTTGTGCGTAATTTATGCGTATACTATGAGTAATATATGTGTATACCATGCGTTCACCATGCGTATTATGTGTGCACTCTCTGCATCAACATTCTATTAAAAATATTCATAGAAAATCATGCGAATAAATATGTCAAAATGAATTGTGGGAACGCTTGCCTTATGGTATTGTATTGTCCAATATAAATCATCTTTGACAACCAATCCTTCCATTCATTATTACGATACTTATCCTCCTCCCATGTTCCTGATGCCAATAACTTGTAAACATAAACATGTCTCTCCTGACCAGTAATGAATAGATAAGTATCGCAGTAATGAATGGAAGACTTGGTTGTCAGAGATGATTTATATTGGACAATACAATACCACAAGGCAAGCGTTCCTGCAATATATAGTGAAAATTTTAATGTTGAACAATAGTAAGCAATAAATTGTAAATAATGGATCATAAAAATTCAACCAACCCTTCCAACTATATCTGCCACCCGTGAGTCCACAACTAACGAAAATTATTATTCATGTCACGGCCCCTCAGTCCATACTAAATGTAAGTAACCTAAAACATTTAATAGAATGTGTGCGTGTTTTATGCGTACTATGTGCGTAATATGTGCGTAATATGTGCGTGTATTATGCGTACTTAATGCGCATTTTGTGCGTTCGTTATGCGTATTATTTAAAAACGTTTCAAAATTATTTTCAAAATCATTTATAAAATTATTTTTTTCATTTAAAACAAATAAGAAATTCAAACACTAATCTTTAAACGCAAAAGCCAAACATAAAATCTTTCAAACATCATATTCCTTATTTCTCTTCCTCAAATACAATCCACCAAGAGCCATAAATTCTTTGTACTTGTTCAAATATCATATTCAAGACTAGAAAATGAAATCATAAAAATCACATTGCGTCTAATTTGTAAATAACAAGTTTAAGTTCAACGTGTTAAACATATTCCTCATCATTTTAATGTAAATAACTTAAAAACAAAGATAGATATTAATTAAAATATTTAATATATTTTGATAAATAAAATTTACTGCGTAATGTATGTGAAGAAATTTTTTTGATTGTATGATATTCCAAAAGTTATTGTTTTAGACGGAGATGACCAATTCACTTCTAAGTTGTGGAAAAAAATTCATAAAAGTTTGAATATAAAATTACATCTCCATACAACATTTCATCAACGGAGTGGTGGTCAATTTGGAAGGATAATTCAAGTGTTAGAAGATTTGTTGAGATTATTTATTTTGGACTTTGAAGGTAGTTGCGAGGGCCATATATCAATAATAGATTTTGCTTCTAATAATAGTTATCAATCTAACATTAAAATAACTTCTTATGAAGCACTCTATGGTATAAAGTGCAGAACTCCATCAAATTAGGTTGAGATGGGAGAAAGACAATTGAATTGATGAAGGAACATATAAAATTAAATTAATTAGAGATAGATTAAAAGCTGCTCAAGATCATCAATAGAAATATTATTACTCAAGAACAAAACAGTAGAGTTTGAAGTTTGTGATTTTATATTTTTGAATGTATAAAAACCTATGAAAGGTACAACTAAATTTGGTCAAGGGAGTAAATTGAATCCCAAATATATATATGAACCTTTCAAATTATGAAGAAGATTAATAATGTTGCTTATAAGTTTGAAATACCAACTTACATATTAGATTTTCATAATGTTTTTTTATATATCAATGTTAAGAAAATTGGTTATAGGTGTTAGCCAGAGAATATCACATGAAGAAATTAATATATAGAAGGATCTATTTTATGTTGAGGAACTTGAGAGAATCTTAGATTATGATGTTAAAAAGCTTAGAAATAGAGAGATCCCATATGTCAAAGTAAAATGAAAATACATACTAGAAAAATAGCAACATGGGTAGAAATGTTCTCATTTGTTTGATGGTCAGCTAAGAAAATGAATTTAGAGGACAAAATTTTAATAATGATGGGAGAATTATAATGCCCAAAAATTTGCTGTAAGCTAAGCTCATAATTTTCTATAAAATTATGCCCCTATTTTTGCATATTTCAAAATTCATTAAAATCAATTTTATTAAATACTACTTTTCATTTTAATCATTTTGATATATAGGAGCATATAGAAATAATCAACACAAATTAATTTATGCATATAATTAAAAATTTCTGAACTTTATATTTAAATTTCACTATACACTTTGTTAATTTTTTATAACAAATCTGAGGCGGTGGACTTATTAAGGAATTAACTAAATTATATATAAATCTATGTAACCCTTATGCCTTAACTAAGCCTTAACTAAGTACCATTTATATATTTATCACATTTCTCTCTTAACCGAGAGGAGTAGAAGGCAAAAGCAGTGGTAGTACGGGTATTGTAGCAGCTTGAGTACAGGAGAAGCAGGTCACTGTAGCAGGCTGTGGGTATTGTAGCAATGGAGAAAAACATCATAGAAAGAAAGAAAAAGAAAAAGAAAAAGTAAAAGAAAAGGGAGAGAGGGGTAAGGAACTGAAGAATAATGGAATAAAGGAGGAAGGAGGCTAGGGATTCAGGTAAGAAAATCAAGAATTGAATGAGGAGAAATTTATTTATGGTAAAACTTTATTTTTAGATTTGTTATTGTTAAATTCAAAGAATTGGAGAGGGAAAATGTTTGATTTTATTGTACAAAATTATTCCTATTATAGATCTATACAAGATATCTTAATAAAGAAATAAATAATTACATAATCATATATAATTGTCATAGTATAATCCTTCCTAAATTAACCACCAAAATATGGAAGGAGATAGATGTGATCCAGGTGAGCCTCCCACGGATTCCCATCCTGGCCGTGGGATTAAGTGTGATTTAACAAAGATCGACGTGATCTATGTGATCCTCCCACGGATTTCCATCTTGGTCGTGGGATCAAGTGTCAAGGGACGATTGTGATTTAACACTTTCCCTCAAGCTGGGGAATACAAATCTGTCATTCCCAACTT